ATGAATTAACGTTTCAATAATAAAAAATATTCAGCTTCATTTTTCTTCATCTTGTAAATATAAACGGTTTTATACGTGGGAGTGTTTATTAATTATTAAAATAAACAATAGCTCTCCGCGTGAACGATGTGATACAGCTGTGGGGGTTGTATTATGGAGATGGAAAGATATTCGGTAGATCCACACGGGCTTCACACATCTGGGCCCGGCGCAGCTGAGCTAAGCATAATTTCCACCTCCCGGCATCGCCAGTATAACAATGTACAAAGCAAACTTTGTCGAGTATTTCGTGTCAAAGCGGCGGCCATGTTTGTGCGGTTACGTCACTCTTTGCTCTTATCACCATAATTTTGTTTCATCAACGGATATTCCTAAACCCTTTCAGATGATTTATAAAGTTAACATTTTTATTTTAACTTGCAAGCATAAACAAAGTTAAAAAGTATATTAGGAATATATTTCATATGTAAATAAATAAAGCAATAACATAATACTGAATATTTATTCGCCGATATTATATTATTACATATATTTTCAACTATTAATTAGTCAATTAAACTATGAAATTTGGTGGACATAACAAATGATGTTTAAATATCAAAATGAATATTTGTCAGCTTGGTCACCCTATTTGCATATATTAGGAAGTAGGCAAATATTTCCGGTATTCCGCAGATGGTTTGAGAAATGCCTCATAAATTTGTGAGGGTCGCGTCCCGTCGGGTCGCTTCGCCCTGTCTGCACTCGCAGATTCCATATAGACAACCTAAGCATTGTCCTAACTTATGTAATTTAATCATTCTAAGTGAAATAATAATAAAAATATGTGCACATTAAAGATAACTTTACAGATTAAATAATTTTAAGCATTTCAATATTTTACTTTTACCACTATATACTTTAAATTACGTTTTTTTTAATGTAGTACTATTTTTTCTATTGTCCTCGACAGAGTCGTGAATCTGATGATTGTCGAAGACAACGTAAATGCTACTCTGTAATAGAGTAAAGTATTATTAAAACCTAAAAAAAAATATTCAAGAACTCCGTACACCCCTCGCGCTCTATTTCACGTCAAATCATAATTTGCAAGTTGTCTATACCACAGAGAGCATTACCATAGACAGCCTTATACAGTCAAATTTGTAGAGGCTCTTCTGACAAGTGGAGTGGAATAATAAAAGTAAATTCAGATCTAATGTATGGATTTATTCAATGGTAGAGCTGTGCGAATGGCTTCTGTTGCCTGCTCACTACTAGGGTAACCATGCAGTTTGTAACAATATAGGACTCTCTCTTTTATTTCGAATTTGTAGTTTGAACATCTTATTGTTTACAAACAATACAACTGCAACTAATAAGATTAAACATAAAATAAATGTCACGAACAGGTATGTTAGCACAATTTATAATAGAAGTATACTTCTCTACATTGTGTCTAGCTTTGAAACATTTTTCTTATTTTCTTAAATTCATATTAGGCAATGTGTTTAAGTTTACTGCATCGAAATTTGTAGTAAATTTATCTTGTGTTCAATCTAATAATATTTTATTTGTATAAATTTATACGTATACAAATAAAATATTCCACTCACAATCATGAAATAAGTCAAATTCGATAAAATATGTCTGAATGATCTCCACGTGACGTTGTAATCTTAGACATAATATTTTAACGTAGCCGCGCGCCGCCACACCGCCGATTCAGAAATATGGCTTTTTGAATAATATTGTGTGCCTTCAATTACTTTATTTTTATAAAACGTTGTTTTAAGTATTTTCCAAATTTCTAACAAGGAAAGTATCTATTGTAAGAACTAAGAAATTACTATGTAGTTGTCAGTGTCTTCTATCTTTACTACATGTGTGAACATAGACAAAATACGTAAATAGTAGATAAGTGGTTTAGTAAAAGTTTCGTGTTAACTGTTAAATAATAAAACTTTTATGTCGAATTTAATTTACTAAACATAGAAGTGGGAAGTACTATAGTAATGGGAGATAAGCGGACACACGCATCCGAGCAATTTAAAATTTAATTTTTATCTCGCTCCGGTCATTGTAGCGCGGAGATAATTGCTCTTCCGAGCTGCCTGCTACCTCACTACAATACAGCCTCCGAGTCTGCCAACATTAAATATTTCAACATTTTAAAGTGATAATTTAATAACATAAAAAAGTGAAACTATCCCTACATATTTGAAACATAGACACTTTACTATTTGACAATGAGATTTAAAACTCCTTTTTAAAGTTGGTTAAAATAACTAAAGGAAGATTTCGACGCAAACACTGTATTATAATATATATGATTATTTCTATATATTAACGAACAAACATTATTTTATAATAATTAAGAAAACAACGTGTTACAAAATTATGTAACGTGTAAAAAAATTAAATGGTGTACAAGGAAATACTCAGTGCCATTGGAAAATGAAAAAAAAAATTGAGTCCACGTCCCTTTCCCCAAGCTGCATGAACAATTTCCAAAGCTGTGTCTTTTACGTCTTTAAAGAAAAAATAAATTAAAGAATTCCCGGGAAGGTACACGAGGACGGGGATAAAATTAAATTAGGATAAATTAGACAATTACCATTAAATATTTCTTTAGAAGGCAAAGTCAACGACTCGTTTAAAAAATACGATTAAAGGGCGAAGACTCAAAGACCTTTCGTACCTTTTATTTATTTAAATTATCGTTTTGTCTTATTCTTTACAAGTAAAAGCCAAATGACGCTGTAAAAACAAAGAAATGCAAACGAATCAACCTTTACCTAGTTAAGACTACCTATGATATTATAGTATTTGCACTTTTCTTTAATATACAAAACTGCTGAATTTTCACCGTTTCCCGCGTAATTATTGTGTTTTTTTTTTCTAATTTAAATATGTAATATGTTACTGTCCAGTTCGACTTGTGTGAAAGAAAACTCCTCGGCAACCAAAGAGGTCGAATTCCTCAAACTAAACACTGTCTGAATTCTGGTACTCCGCTTATTTACAGCGTTCCAAGGGTGAACTAAAATCATATTGGCTTTAAAAGGATTTAGTGCATATGCACACCTATTGTAGGGCTTCTTTGGCACGCGACACGTGCTGGCAACTGTACACAAAGACATCTTATGGTTATAAGCGAAAACTTTGTTTATATAGTGGTGCAGAGTAAAGAAATGTCGTTCATTTACTTTTTATTAAATCAATCGTTTCGATCCTTGTGACGATATAGAGATAAGATTGTGCGTCAGTCAATTATAATAAGTTAAAGATTATTTTCATTTCATTAAGACATATGCAGTCATACGACGTAGTACACATCGACCTCTATATATCCCCCCCCCCAGCAGTGAGTCAACGCCATGGATCCTCTGTGAACTCTGGCAGCTAGCCAAAGCCTTTACAACTTTGTAACGTGTTTACATTAACAAAACACTTCGGAAATAGTTTTTAACAGTTTTAGGCGTAAGAACGCTATTCAATTGAAACAATACTGTTGCTAAAGTCGACATCAGAGCCTTTTAGATTGACGCGTTGCAGGAATGATTTGTATCTCTGTCATATTTTTGAATTATCACACCGTTAAAACCGACGTTCTTTTTATCACGTTACAAAAATTGTTTGCAATTTAAAGCATTGCGATGCGTAGACATAAATCAGAATTTACATATCGCTTTTTACTCTCGTTTTAGACCCAAAATTAATAACGCCGGCGAGAATTTGATAAAACGGACCACAGCGCGCCAAAATTATCCCGCCATTATTCAACAGAGGGTTCAATGACTGCCCACCTGTCAAACATCACATGTATTGTCCCTTTCGGACTGGTTGATTAAGGATAGATCTGTCTCTCTCTGGTTTGTACTAGCAGGTATTGTTGATAGCTTTAGTGTTGTGGCTAGAGATGTTATGATGGGAAATTATTTATCTAAGCATTAGTTCGCCATGAATAGAAATACCGTCGTTGTAAACTATTGAAACATTGTTTAGGAAAATTAAGTATATAACAGTTTACTTAGCTATTTGATTTAAATATAAGATAATAACAACGTATTTTTGTATTTAATTCCACGAAAAATCATGACTCAATGTCACGTAGTGAGCTTGGCTTGTTGGATATTTTTATATTCCAATAATTAAATGCAGATAACAATAATTGCATTTATTTGATGATTAAATGATGTATAATCTGAAATCCTCATCGACATTATTGTTACGACCGTTAAATCCGAGCAAATGAACACAATGTCCCACAGTAAAATGAACGCAGCGCCTGTCTCTGTTTAGTCTGTTGCTTTACCGCCATTTTGCGGGATTGCTAATCGTTTATGATTTGTGTGTCTAGTTATACGCTGATGTTACTGTCAATATGATTGTCAAGTTGGCATAATTTTTTCGATACATTTTTTTTAATGTTACCTATATTGTTTTCTTCAAGTTGGGGGTTGATGTTAACCTAATGTTGAGTTTTATTCTGAAAATGTTCAACAAAGAATTAATAAAAATTACAATGTATTCAGTAAAGACGGGATTACATGCAGTGCTTTTAAAATTGCGCACGTATAAAATAAAAAAGTTAACGCTATTTGCTAGGGAACACCCGCCCTCTTTATCCGCGGCAATCCGAATGCCATTTTCTGTGTATTTTTTGTGGCCAATTTTAATCGGCGCTGCCATTCAGAGAGCGAGCCAACGAGGCCATTTCATTTCTCCCGCTCCTTTGAACGGCCTTTTAAAGAATTCGCTGGAGTTTTCATTATGATGCTTTAATGCATATCGCTATTGTGCTTTTCGTAATTTATAGACCTAAAGATATTGCGTTATGTAAGAAGCCGACATATAATGAAACATTTTCAGAATTCCTATACCATGCCGATCACTTCATCGACAAAATAATTTCTTTGTTCTGATAGCTTTTAAATTTATTCCATATGTTAAGACATTTGAAGTGTACTATATCTGTTAGTATTCACTTGCCTAACTCGTTGTTTCTGTCTTTTCAGATAGCCGTTAAGATGGTGCAGTGATGTGAGCGCAATGCTGCTGCAGCAGGCGTCGTCGCCCGGCCCCAGCGGCGCCCCCAGCCCCAAGCCGTCCCCTAGCCCCAAGCCCCATCCCCACTCCAGTCCCAGCTTCAACACCAGGTTTGCCGGAAGCCCCAATCTAAGCGATGGTCCTTCGAGCTCTAATAGCCCCAGATTGGGCGGTAATAGCCCAAAATTGGGCGCCAGTCCGAAATTCGGTAGCCCACGATTGGGATCTGGAAGTCCGAAGCCTTGTAGAGGATCCGCTGATGATGAAGCGGCGCTGGAGAAACTTCATGCTGAGCTGAAGGAGGGGTGGACAGTGCACACGGGGAGAGATGGCAGACTTTACTATTGCAAGTAAGTTTCACTATGTGCAGATCGATTTAATATTAAATTGTTTGACTTTGTTTGTTATTTGTTTAATTACAGAATGGATGAACCGTTTGTTTTGTTTTGTTAATCGCATCGCATTTGTTTTAGACATTGTTTACAAATGATATGCAAACAAAGAGAAATGTTTCATTAGTGAGTTTTACCAGACGCACAATTATTAATCTTATGGAAAGCGCGAAGTGTATCTTATATCGGTATCATATTTTAAAAAGGATTCATGTTCAAGGGTTATTATGGTTGTAGAAAAATATATTATATTTTTGTATCATGGTCATATTTTATACCTTCTGTGCGATAAAACAATCGCTATAACAGATGGAAGAATAAAAGATAGTATTTTATAAGTGGCAGATAGTGGCAGAGTCAGGTCCCGTTCCTCTTATATTAAGAGCATTCCTCTCTGTGCGTGACTCCGTTATGATTTGATAGTTGTTACAATTGCCAGCGGCGCAACGGGCACTTCATTTGTCCGTTTCAAATTCCGTGCAACAATAAGAAGTGACTCGGTATTATTTGATAATTGCTTTTGATCTTGACCCTTAGTATAAAGACTTATTGGACTCTGCAGATAGAAATGTCCATAGTTAATGATTAAATTAAATATTGCTATGAAAGTATAACTCATAATAGTAATATTTGTATACATTTCATTTATTCCCAACGAAGTTTAGTATCCCTGATACATTCAGACGGAGCAAACATTAATTTTACATGCGCTGACTCGAGTTTAAATATTTTCCCTCCATTTTGAACCGTCATACAAAATGGATTCCTTCATATTTTAAGTTGCGTTCAGAAATCGCTTTAGCGAATCAATCCGCATCGCGTTTGTTGAAATAGCAAAAGTTTGCGCTGGGATTGAAGATATTGTACGTGATTCGAATGGGGTTTTATAATTAGTACAATTTATGATCGTAGCAGTTTAAAAGTTTTCTGACATCATCAGCGTGATTTGAATTCTAGTAGATTTTGCAGGGACATATCATTTTTCATAACTCAGTCATGTTATTAAGCGAGGCAGATACCGTGGGCTTATGATACCAAAATCTCTGTATAAAAAAGTTACCTCTGTATACGTATCTTTGACCAAACAGAGATATTTAAACAGCGGTCTGTAAACCCCACGGTTAGGGAAGTACATTTTACAAAAGGCCAATATTCAATTTCATGACATGTTATCTCCACAAACCTACTGGTACGATTTCGTGACAAATTCTGTTGAAGCGCTTGACATTCTGTATCAGATTGACCCCGTACTACTGACATGTTTGACACCTTGAACTGACATTCACTGTCCAATCAACTTCCATTCTATGACGTTAGTTGTCAAATCAACTTCCGTGCCATTGTTATGCTGCAAAATGTAGAACATTGAGGCTTTTACGTAAAAAAGATGTTGATGTGGATTCTTAAATCAACAGGGTAATATATATTTTTATTTATTTAAGTAATTTACGTAACGTGTTTACAAATTATTAGCTAAGCCGATAAAAAATAAAGAAAACTTGATTTGAAACAGCAAAGAACGTTAGCAACGATGTTATTTGTTTCCGAAACATTTTCTTATTACATTTGTATGTGGCTGAAGTCGGCGAGCGCTTGTTATTAAATCTACAAAAGTATTGGATATTTATTTGAATTCAAATTCCTTCCAACATATGAATGTAACAATTTTATTTGTAGATCAAAAAACAGGAAGGATTATTTAGCACTGGTCAATAGTTTTACTTCTTGTTATTGCTACAGTACTGTTAACGTAGTGTATCAAAGTTTCTGTTACTTAAGTCGATAAATTAAGCATCAGTAGATATTTCTCTGGTTATAAGTTTATTCAACAATTGATCTTTGACGGCTGTTTCCCGTTGGGACGGAAATACCAGAATAAATCCGTCCAATAGGACCTTTATAATATAGGATAAATTGACCGATGGAAAGAATTTTGTTATAATTGTTTATATTTTATTGTAAAATACAAAGATATTAGGCAATACGATACTATGTATGGGGGGTGGGGTGGTCACAGCGGGTGAACAATTATGTGCAGATCGCTGGCCGTGAAATTTGTGACGTCATGATGCACACGCTCGGACACACGTGACGTCATCCCACACAGACCGATAGCTGTTTTAATTTTAATCTAAAATATTCAATAATAAAAATAATTAAGAAAACATTTTAATTCCTTTTTACCACCAAGTTCCACCTACTTCATCTTACATGCTACCTTATTTACAAACTTTTATATACAGTACTATATAGTAGTTATAACGTAATATATAGACAAATGATCGATTCTATTTTCTTTTACTCGAGCTTAAGTTTGTTCTTGACAATATAAGTAACTACACATCATCAGTTTGACCTGCACCTATAGGTGTGTTGGTAAAACTGAGTACATTTTAACTAAAAAACTTCAAATGTCAACACATGTGGGCGTAGGACGTATATTTGTGACAAGCGCCGTAGTATTATCATCGACAAAATCTCATACTAATTTCGACATGAATGACACCGATACGAAAACTTTTGTCGCAATTATTCGTACGAGGCCTATAGTCCGACTGTTAGGTTAAAACTGAAGGTGTGTAGCGAGCTTTATGCGATATGATTAAAACCTCAACGGCAACATCTGCAATATAACAATGATATCGTAGAGTGTATTAAAAGCGGTTGTAGAGTCGGCATTCATTAGAGCTGAGCGGGCGGCGGAGGGCGGCAGCGGCGGGCGGCGGGCGGCTGTAACGCGACTCGGCCGGCCCTGTACAAACGCCTTTTGTTTTCTGCCCACTGGAAAACGATACGCCGCAGATGTTTCCTAACTAGATGTAACATGAAACACCGTGGTTTGATTTAACAACTTCCTTATGATAGCTTTGAAGATACAATTGTTTTGTCTCGTGATATTTTTTTTCTATGCTTATCAAATCGTATTGAAGAATAAAAGTACCTTTCTATTGGTACTAGATTTTTTTAAATTGTAGCATTTTCGCGAATAAACTTATCTATTGTTTTTATACAAAATTAAGTTTAATATTACTATCATAGAACGTTTTTGTTCAATGTATTGTGTTTGTGTATTTCGGTTTAGGAGATATTTATGACAAATTCAGTGACTCTACATCATGGTGAACACATGTGGAGGTTATTAATTGTCCGCAGTCGGGTCCAGCAGAACCTTATTACAGCGGCAGTCAGCGGTCACTTCATTACGCTTTTACGATGCCCTATTTCATTAACTGTCGACGTTTTAGCAGTAATAACAACTTACTCCATTACATATACGATTGTATATCTTTCTATGACAATGTTAATTAGTGTGCTTAGCTTGTCAGCTCTCTATTAGTGATAGTGTTTTATTTAAATGTTCTTTGGTTTGTGAACTCACGACATGTATCATAATCATAGAACCATACATACGCGAAAACGTATTCTTAATGACATTATTGTTATGTTTTTATATTTAAACTAGTTGTAGCCGAGCGGAATTAAAAAAAATGTGTAGTAGCCTCTGTGTTCCTTCCAGATTATGTTCTACATCTGTGTTAAATTTAGCGAGATAGGTTTAGTGGTTCTGGAGATACGTTCTTAACATCCATCTATACATCTAAACATTAATGATATTATTAAAATAATTTGGGTTTCTTACATAAATGGTAATCCTTCATATATTTGTGACAATCACGTTCCTCAAGCTACAACATTTGTAGCAATATTTAAATAGTCAAAGTAATAATCGTGTTTTTTGAAATCCCATTAACACGTCTGCATTCCCAAGGCTCTATGGATGTTAGATATATTATTTACTCGACACTTCATGTTCTCAGCACGTGTTAATATACGATAAAAGATTTTGTAAATAAAAACAGATTAACCTTCTTCTTAAAATCCTTCCGGGTTACCGATCTTTAAATTAGCGACGAAACAGATTATAAATCAAAATGAATAATGTCCGTTAAAGTGTAATCAAAGTCAGAAAAGTATATTCTATTTTCCTGACAAAAAAATAAAAGGCACTAGATATGTGTCATTTTTTAACATTTTCTTTTTTTTAGTGTATGCTGATCAAGTAAAACACCTAGATTCGTTAACGACCTTTACTAAGATTTTCGACCATATTGAACAAAATTTATGTGTAGGCAACCATAATGTTATACTTATAAATTGTTATTTTATTGATTATAATATAGATACACGTAACAACTTGAATATATATACATTTTTTAAATAAAATCATGAAATTGCAGCTATATAAGAACTTCTTGCGACGTTGCATGTTGAATAAACAAAATGGTTACAGCGAATTTTAATTTGATATCTTAATAATTTAACTGAAAATAATTCTCTTAGTACGTAAATACAATTTAATTTGAAACTTTAATTACATCGACGTCAGCGGGGGTTGGGGTGGGGGTTGT